TTGATCCCATCAACTGAAGAAGGTCACTTCCTAGATCCGAAACAGTTCAGAACTACAGTTCTTCCCCGAATCCATTCAGGATCCAAAAAGGGGGTACAATACCCTCAATGGGACTTCGGTGTCTTTAGCTTTTGTAACGAGGTCATATTTACCTTTATTTTCCATTACGGGCTTGAATCCACTCCATTAGGCTGCAAAGGAAGTAATATTCCATGCTGAAAAGAGATCAGCATGGAATAAACCTATTACTTGTTCCATAACACTCCATCGTTGTGATTAATAACTCATATTAACAATGTGCAGGAGCTGGTGTCTCTGAGTGAGTGTGCGTGTGGGACGTGCGGTTTGAGGACCGTCTTCACCCCGTTAGAAGCGCGTAAACAGACGTAATAACGGGCATGTTTGTGTTTAGTTTTCTTGGCTTAGTTTTCAGGCAGAGCGCAAGACATGTCAAAAATAGGGCTTACACTTTTCTTCAAGGGATAGACTGAGCATCAGGTTCAGAAAGGCGCAATTAGAACCGGTTGTCTCAATTCAAATAAAGCTCATTTCCGAGTTGCCTCGCACTCTAGCACAGGGGGTTAAAAATCACAAAGTAATTTTTAGTTTATGCTATTTTTTTTAAGCTTTGGCAGAAAACTACTGTGCCGTGTTATTCTGAGCCTTAGGTGATGAAGGGAACACACATTTTGAGTGAAATTAGAAAAGGCATTTATTCTGGTTATCAGAAACGCGCTGTTTCTTCTCATTACAGAGCCTATACAGTAAGTACCCTCCAGTGAGACTCAATCAGGTGTCACGAATACGATGTTCCTATACAGCCACGTGTAAAATCGCTCGTCGCTCCCCCCAAATACCACCTATGCGCCAAAGTTTACTAGACAAATAATGTTGTGTAACTCATCTTCTGCGCGACCGTGGAGGGTTAACAGCAATCCTTTAAAAAGAAAAAAAAAACACGTCGTCTCTGCGTATACGTAAGCATAAACTTTTTTTTTTTTCCTCTTAAGAAATGTTAAAGCTTCACACACACACACCCCTCCGGCTTCAGCAGAGAACGATTCGGGCGACTTTTGAAGATGTGGAAACGCACGCTCGGTGTGTGATCGGATGAACGTTTTTCTCGGCTCTCGCACAGCCTGCGTCCCGCCGGACTCGGCTCAAGAGGGGCAGAGAGGAGACTGGTAGTCGCCGCTTGGCTGGTTGATGCCCTTGTGCGGAGGGCTGCTGCGATGGCTAAATGCGCGGTCTTGCTTCTGTACCTGCTGCACGGGTTAGCGCAGTTCGTAACGGGGCAGCGCCCCCCGACACGGGAGCGAGTCGGGCCGTGGAGGCAGAAGATCCAATGGGAAAATAATGGCCGGGTGTACAGTTTACTCAGCACCGGCTCCGAGTATCACCCAGCGGGACTGTCGACGGTGAGGAGGAGAGGGTCTCAGATCTACCTGAGCACCAACCGGGAGGCTGGAGCGACTAACGGGGAACCTCCATTTAACAGCCACGCACTGAATTCGGGGTCCGGACCCCGAG